CCTGGGCTCAGGTCTGGCCCTGGCGGGTGCTCCCTGAGGCTGCCTGGAGCCCCGGGCTCGTGTCTGGCTGCACTCACCTTGTTGAAGACCCAGATCTCCCCGTTCACCGTGGGCCGGGGCACCCCGTGGCCGTTGTAGTGGAAGAGGACCCGCTCCTCCTTGGCGTTCCGGCGCAGCGACGTGCACAGCTTCTTCACCTCGTCCACGGTGGGGTCGAGGCTCTGCTTGTACCGCGCCTGTCGCAGGAGAAGATTCAGAAACGTAACTGGGTTTGCGGGAGCACCCAGACGGCCCCCCTCCGAGCCTGCACTGAAGAGCCGCGTGGCCCAGAAAGTGGCCCGAGTCTGTTTCAGCCAAACGCCCAGCCACTGCGAGTGACCGGTGCCCACCCAGATTTAGATGTTTCTTAGCATCGGGCTCCGCGGTGGCCAGACAGCGCGGCAAACCCCGCTCCAGCGCGGCCGCCACTTCGGTCTGAGTGTGAGTGAGAACAAACACCCGGGCATGGTGATGGGCGCTTTTTAAAAAGCGTTGACTCAAGGGCACAGAGGAGCACGCCAGCACCGTGAGCCACACCATGGGCCCAGGGAGGGCGCTGCGCTGAGCCGGCTCTGGCTGCGCTGGCCCCAGCGTGAAGGGCCAGGACACACGGGCGGCTCCTGGAGGGAACGGGAAGATGGGAGGCTGAGTCACAGAATAATGTTAACAGGGCATAAAAGGGTCTGGATTCCCATTCATTTTCCTTGTGGGCACAAGAGAACCACCAGCACTCTTACTACTACCAAGAACAGCAACAGGGGTCACCCTGGAGGGAAGCCCAGTTCATGGACCCGGTGGCTCTCCAGCAACCTCCCCAGAGCGCCCCTCGGAGGGCCGGCGGCGTGTGACCTCAGAAACACTACTGACGCTGAGCAGAGCCGCCCCACACCAAGGCCCTCCCCCGGTGTGAGAACAGCCGGAGAGCAGTGCAGACACGCATCTACGCCACCCACTGAAGACGTCTCCCCTGCGGCCTCGACCAGGAGCAGGGAGCGCTGGGGGAGCAGCTTCCAGAGCCCGAGAAGGGGCAGCAGGGAAAAGGGCCCAAACAGAACCCAGGGGCTGGCTGGCCCCCCAGGCTGCAGCTCCTGGTATCGGAGTCCACTGCCTGGCGCTCGGCCTGAGGCTCCCCTGCAGGGAAGTCCAGCCCTGGCCTGCCTGGCGCGGCCTCCGAGGCACATCCTGAGCAGGAGTGCTCCCCACCCCCCCACCCCCGGGCCACGGGCCAC